TCATTTGATGATGTGGCTGTGGACTTCAGCTGGGAGGAGTGGCAAGACCTGGATCATGCTCAGAGGACCCTGCATAGAGATGTAATGCTGGAGACCTACAGCAACCTCTTGTCCTTAGGTGAGCAAAAGTCATTTGAACATGCGAGATCAAAGGCTGTTTTCTTTTTTAAGTAGATATATAAATATTTATGTTGTTTCAATAGAGGATTCCAGTCCGTGGGAATATAAAATTCCTGTCCATTTTTTCCACTTGATTATGTAACTGGAGACAATTTTATTCCCATTCTTCAAGAAACCCAATCAGCACTTGGACCCAAGATCTAAACTGCATTCCACTAATAGAAAAAAGACTGTCTTCCTAAACTTGCGGTGATTTTTGTAGGTGCATATATACTCTAGAATAGAAAGTACATCACTATTTGAAGTATGATCTGAAAATCACTAGTTGAAAGTGGTTATTTGTAATCAACCCTGATCCTGGGTGCAGTGGCTAACACCTGTAATCTTAGCTTTTCTGGGGGCTAAACTGTGAAAATTTTGATTTTAAGCCAGCAACTGCAGAAAAGTGACCATGAGGCTTTTATCTCCAAATCCCCTCACAATCTACAAATGTAGCTGGGACTGAAACTAGCAGAATGCTAGCTTTGAGCAAAGGAGCTGAGTTCAAGCCACACAATTGGCAAAATAAGTTGAAAGCTGGGGAATATCATCCAGGAAGTTGGTAAGAAATGAGAAACAAGGTTTAGGAGCAACTTTGTGAACATGATGTCTGAGACCTTACAGTAATGATGACCCAGCCTACCAATAGTTCTTCTCTACTTGTTAATAACAGGACACTGTGTTCCTAAACCTAAATTGATTGCCAAGCTGGAGCAAGGTGCAGAACCATGGATAAGAGAAGCCTCAAACAAGAATCTCACAGGTGAGATAAAGCATCTTGCATGGTGTTCTAGCCAGAGTCCACTTGGTAGGTTTAATGAGCTGTACTGAGCAATAGTGTTCCTAGTTCCCCTGAGTCATGTGTGGCAGAGAACTAGGTGATCCTTTGTCTTCAGGACATGACAATCAAGAATTTACATGGAGACAAACTGATTTGGCTGTCCCAGTATAGTTAAAGTGAGCAATTTTCTTTTTCTGTGTAGAAATCATTCTTAAACAGAAAAAGGAAATGAGACATGTAGAAAATGAGGTCTCATTTTCATTGAAACAAGGGCTATGCAGGTATGAGGAAATAAGGAGTATGCCAGGACTGCTATCCTGTGATGAAGAAAATTGCTTCTTGGTGATGGTGGAAGTGAGTGAGATTCAGAAGCAAAGCTTTTGGTTCATAGGGGATGACTACCTGGGTGGTGAGCTGCAGTATCTTTGGTCTTTAATGGTTGTGAAGGAGCAGAAGTGTTAGAAAAGGAAATTTGATGAGAATTTGACTAAAGGTGAGGGAAAACAATTTTAAAAATGCCACTAACCCCTAAAATAATTCTTAGTGAGAAGTTAGAACTGAAGAGATGGAGGTATAAATCCTTACTCTCAGGAACCTTCCATGCTTAGCGGGAAGGCCAAGGGATGTATCAAACACCCTAATGGTCCCTAAATCTAGACAGTATTTCTGTTCCTCACCTAATGGTTGAGAAGCAAAGCAGCAAAATATATAAATTATTTCCACAAATTAAAAGAAAAATAATAGCTATTCCCTTATGACCAAACCTCGAGGTTATTAAAGGCAAATGTTTAGTACTCAGCTTATAACTAATAGTGTGTAGTTGAATCATTTGAGTAATTAATTCCTTGAGAAAAACAGAAAAAAACGGAAACAGAAAAACATTATTTACCATTGTAAAATGTCAGTACTACTTTGTTAACTACTACATTACAGAGAAAAGCATACATTCTGAGGAAATGCCTTTATTTTTACATTAAGGAATCTTGAGGTCTCATTTCTGTTTTTGTCTTTGATATCTCATTGTAGATGTCCAAGAAAAGGAGTACAGGACTAAGACCTATCAGAAGAGTCCCTATGATTGTCTGTCTGAAGTAGGAGTCATGAATACTAACACAGGGAAGAAAAAAGTGAAATTAATAACAACTTTTAATTTGAGATCAAAACCTAAGTCAGAGCTGATTAGGAATAATGGGAACTCCTTAGGGATAAGGACAGAGGAGTTCAGGCAGTGTCAGAACATGCTTCTCCATGGCGAGTCTAATGGGATGTGTGCTGCTTATGGTCCTGGAGTATCTCCTGTAGCTAAAGAATCAAACCAACGTGGACATTCTTTCACCCGGAAAGCACACCTTACCGTCCATCAGAGAACACACACAGGAGAGAAACCTTATGAATGTAACCTGTGTGGAAAGTCTTTCACTCGGAAGGCACAGCTTACTGTCCATCAGCTAACACACACAGGAGAGAAACCTTATGAATGTAATGTGTGTGGAAAGTCTTTCAGCCAGAAGACACACCTTACTGTCCATCTGACAACACACACAGGAGAGAAACCTTATGAATGTAACCTGTGTGGAAAGTCTTTCAGCCAGAAGTCACACCTC